CATTTGCTGCAGTCTCATCATCTGCATCAGTCTACCCGGAAACAGTTATTTGCTTTGGGTGGTCTTGAAGAAAGTGGGTTTGAGCAGCTCGGCTGATTGTTTACTCCTCCATCTGACAGTGTCCGACCTCATCTTCACCTTCACGTTGGTTCCCTGGACCATCAATCATATTTGGGGATGGATTTTTGGAAATCTGGCCTGCAAGCTGTTCACCTGGTGCATCTTTTTGGGCCTGTACAGCTACATGATGTTCCTCACAGTCATGACAGTCCATCGATACGTGGCGGTGGTGTATCCGGTGTTCGCTTCATCTGTAGGGAATCGTAGCAGGATTTACACGCACATCTCGTCTGCAGTGGCATGGTTGATCTCTGTGGGCTTCAGTCTGCCTGAAATGATCTTCTCTGGAACTGTGGATGGACCTGATGGTGTATTCTGTGTTCCCAACTATAACTCAATATTTGTGGAGTTGTTTGGATATTTCACTCAGATAATTCTCTTTTTCCTGCTGCCATTCCTGGTTATTGTGTTCTGCCACACACGGATGGGTTTTGCCATCCTTCAGAGTCGCATCCGAAGCAGAAACCACGCCGTATGCGTCATCCTAAGCATCGCCGTGGGATTCTTCATCTGCTGGGCGCCGTATAACATCTTCCTCTTCCTCTTCTCCTTGAGGTCTCTAGGCGTTTTTGTGTTGAGGGAGAGCGTTTTGGAGGTCATCTACTGCATCACTCACGTTCTAGCGTATTCCCACTGCTGTCTGAATCCACTCGTCCACATCTTTGGAGGGAAGAAGTTCAGGAATTACCTGCCATGGAGCAGAGGTTTCCGTCGGCTCTCGCAGAGGATCAGCACGCAAACGTTTAGCAACCCCAACAGCTTCTCGGGTCAGTTTCATCTCTGATCATGTCAAAGGTCATGATGTCATTTTGTTGCAGCTCCAAAGCGAGTCACATGACGTTTACAGTGCAGATGATTGGCTCAAAGTTATTGAGATGAATAACAGATTGATAGCAGAGGTTTTATTAATCAAGCAACAAAAGGCAAGTGCCAAATTCTTAGAATATGTTGGTTTCATATATTAAAAAAAAAGTTTAGTTTAGTGGTGTAACTATCAAGTAAAAAAATACATTTGCCTGAAAACATGAATACTCGCACACCGTAAAGGGGTCATAGGATGCCCATTTTCCACAAGTTGATATGATTCTTTAGGGTCTTAATGAAAAGTCTGTAACATAGTTTGGTTAAAATTTCTCAATGGTAGTGTAAAAAAACACACCTTTTTTACACTGTCAAAAACAGCTCTTTTCAAATCAAGCCATTTTTGTAGCATTTTCCTTTAAATGTTAATGAGCTCTGCTGACCCCTCCCCTCTCTTCCGAGCTGCTCTCAGAGAGACTGTTTACTTTAGCCGCATTCATCGTGAAACTTGTTAATTAGCACATTATTAGGAAAGGCGATTCGCAAAGATTCATTACAAAACATTATACTAAATTCTTCTGTAGACGAGGCTGGATCATGAATGATTCGCGCGAACATAGATGCATTTATGTAGATCAGGGGAGCATTCCCTTCAGAAACAATGTAATCCACTGCGAGTTCGCGGCTCAGATGTCGGGAGTAAATGACGGCTGCTATGTTCATTATTACATCCAACAACAGAATACCTCAATCGCTTAGGAGTCATTCTTGTCTACATCTGCTCCAGCGGTGAAACAATGGTGGACTGATGACAGCTCACTCAGGGCGGGTCTAAGGTAAGACACCAGTCCAGTCTGTGCTGAAACGCTACTGTCAATCAAACTATCGTGGGAGGGGCCTGTCTCTGTGACGTCACAAACAGATGACTTAGATTTAACTGGAAATGTGTACTGAAGTAGCCTAAATTGTTTGTTTGTGTTTTTACAAAAGTGTCACATCATTGAATTACATGTATTACAGTTTTGTAATGTTTGTGTGCTTGAGGTTGTTGTCTTTGGAGAAGTGTGAAGAAGTTGCATGGCTGTAATGTAATGCGTCATGAAAATTCCTGAAAGAGGAACAAAGACCAAAAAAAGCAGATGAAAAACCAAGTGCAATAGCAGAATGTTGAGAAGGAATTTTCCACTGTGCAGTAAAAGAAATAAGAAATAAATGAGGAAATGTTGTTAGTAGGCCTCAGTCTTGGATGCAAAGCTTCAAGATGGTAATTCCGTCAGTGTCCAGTAGGTGGCAATAGTAGACAACAAGTGAGACATCTATGAGTTTTATAGCGCTTCGAATTGCACTCTTCAAATGTCATTTTTATTAAAGTGATATTTTATCCAAGACCATTTGGACTCACAAGACATTAATCCATTGTGTTCTTTTTTCTGATATTTAATTTAGCAAAAATATTAGAAGAACTGGACAAAACGCAAAATAAAAACACCATAAAAATAATCTGTTAGTTGTGCACTAAGTCATATGATAGATTCTGGTCTGTTTTTCATACAAAGTTATTCACTAAAAATCTTGCCTTAAAAATCCCGCATAGTCATCATTTGCTATAATTGTATAAAATTAGAGCAGTTTGTGCTCCACAAATAAAGGAAGTCATAGGCTAAGTGCTTCGCAAAATGTAAGTGTGAACTTGAGCAGAGTTTTACATTTTAATGTGCAAGAAACAATGAAACATTTAGCAGAACTTTAGCTTCTTAATCTTGGTTAAAATTGGTTGAAGTTAATGTTGTATTTTTGTTTAACAGATATTTTCATGTTTTTAAGTGAAACAATAATTGGTGGACTCCCTGCTGAAGACCCCTGGAATCATTTCAATTCTCAGTGGTAGTTTTGATTATCTGCCAGTAAACTGTCCAGCCCAGATGACCAGTAGATGATTGACAGCTCTGATTCAGATACACTCTTAAAAATAAAGGTTCCTAATGGGGGAACAATTCTTAAAACAACTACTTTTTTTCTTATTGTGAAGAACATTTTAATAATCCGAAGAACCTTTTCCCGACTCGAAAGATTCCATGGATGTTAAAGGTTCTTCATGGAATCATCACTGATCGATGACAGACTATATGCTCCTCTGACAAATATACTCTGAAGAATCTTTAATATATCACCTAATGCAGTGGTTCCCAACCCTGGTCCTTGAGGCACCCCAACACTGCACATTTTGCATGTCTTCTTTCTCTGACACACCAATTTCAGGTCTTGGAGTCTCTACTAATGAGCTGATGACCTGAATCAGGAGTGTTCATTTAAGGAGACATGCAAAACGTGCAGTGTTGGGGTGCCTCCAGGACCAGGGTTGGGAACCACTGACCTAATGTAATTATGTGTGGTATCTGTCTTAAAAAGCTGATTTATCTCATTCAGAGTCCCACACTGTCTCTGTCCTGATTTGATCTCATTAAACTCCCAAACCACAAACCCCTGACAGACGGCAGTCAATTGCTCTCTTCTAGACAAGACACAGACTCAGTTCTGGTGTGATTCACCACAACTTTAAATCGAGACAAATATGTATTTGAGGATTTTGTATCAGAACATTATAATTATAGTCATGGAGAAATATATGAAAGTATCCCAAAATAATTCATAATTCTACACTTTTAATAACATGCATAATGATTCATGTTTCAAATTACATCAACAATAATGTACACTACTGTTCAAAAGTTTGGGCTCAGTAAGATTTATTTATTTATTTTTGTAGTTTTATTTTTTAAAAGGAATTCATACTTTTATTCAGCAGAGAGGCATTTATGAATTCCTTATTTCATCTATCTATCTATCTATCTATCTATCTATCTATCTATTCATCAAAGAATTTGGTTCCAACAAAGATATTAAGCAGCACAACAGCATATTAGAATGATTTCCGAAGGATCATGTGACACTGAAGACTGGAGTAATGATGCTGAAATTTCACCTTTGCATCACAGGAATAAATTACAGTTTACAATATATTCACATAGGAAACAGGTATTTTAAATTATAAAAATATTTCACATTATTACTGTTTTTACTTTATTTTTGATCAAATAAATGCAGCCTTGGTGAGCAGAAAAGACTTCTTTCAAAAACATTAAAAAATCTTCCCTCCAAAAAATATCTCCATAAAACGAGATGTGGATGTTGTCATAATCTGACATGTCTGCTTTGACATTTCAGCAGTGTTAAAATGACAGTCTGTTTATAGCACTAACACGCCTCGCTAAATGTCTTAGATCATGCTGTTTCACCCATCAAACATAAACATGGACAACATTTCAGAAGAGACATTGTGACTAAAGTCTTGCTCATAACAGAAATTACAGCAAGAGATTTATTTATCTTCCTCGGTGTTTTCAGAGCGCCAAGAAACAGAGATAGCAAAATAATGTTATTTCCTTCAAAGACCTTTGAAATCTGCTCAGCTTTCAACAGAAACAGTTCATCGCTTGAAAAGTTGAGAACAGACAAACCTGTTCACTGCATCTGTTCACAAGCTTCTTGAAAGACGCGGTCTTTTACCATACTGTACCTCTCTGGCAAATGTGTGCTCAGATTATAGCCAGGAGCCAAACAGATGTTGTTTTCTGCTCAATAGAGTCTCATTAGACCTTCCTGTTCTTACCTGCTTTCCTCCCGTCTTTATTTAACGTACTGTGATTTTTTCATTTTATTTTGCTGCCTTTTAATGTCCTTGTTTTCTGAAAGTCTGTAGTATAGATAATAAGCAAATTCCTCCCTTCTTTGATATTATTTTTTACAAATGCCAGGTCGGGAAAAATGTCACATGTGTCACATTAAATTGGTAATATTAAGGTTTGGTTGTGATGTTATTGTTCCCATTTTTGTTGTTTTATGATCTAATACCACTGCATGCAATTTAATGGCATGTCCCAGTGTGACAACTTACCCCATATAGTGTGACAAGATGTTACAATATTAGGTTTGATGAGATGTTCATTGAAGTAAAAAGTGTGATTAGCTTTCTTGTTTCAATTTTAAAAAGTCTTATTCTGATCGTTTCATTCTGCAAATAATATCCATAATTGTATTATAACAATATAACTTATTTAGAGATAGATAGATACTATTTTATTTATATTTACTAAATATAATAAATATTTCTAAAAAATGTAAATAGCTTTTGTAATACATTTGAAACTGTATTTGCAGATACAGAGTGCTTATTGTGTATGAGAGGGGAAGAGGTGCATATGCGCATGCAAACCTCAGAGGACGTCTGGGTTAATTGAGAGCAGATTGGAGTGAAACCCAGTGTTCAAATCATCCTTGATCAAACCAAAAACACGAGTCACACTGCACAGCTCCTCTATAGGGTCAGAGAAGACAATTATGATATACAATCTCAAACTACATTCATGTGTTCATAAAGCAGTCCATTCGTTCTCAGCCTTTTTTTACACCTGTGATGTTCTGCACAACAGCAGCATCTCTTTATTTACATGATATTAATTTAACTCCTGGAACAGAGAATTAGAGTCTCATCTTACTAAAACAAAACTCTTCTCTTCTAAATATCAAAGGAATTATTCTCTGCTCACTCAAAGGTCTTGCTTATGAAACGATGCATTTTAATAACCAGGTGTGGCATCATTGGAGCTGATAGACATCTGTTCTCTGAAGGATTTTTATACTAATCTCTTCCTCATTATAACCAGAACCGTCTAATTTATTAGTGCTTGCTAAGGCGTACTTAGAGTTAGGGATTTGAACTCATCCTGCACCATTTGTGCTGCAGACAAAAAAATTATGCCACAACTCAAATGCTTTTACTTTTCTAAATGTTCAGACTTTCGATTTTTGAGTAGCAGAAGTATAACATCACTTGCTCACCAATGGATCCTCTGCAGTGAATGGGTGCCGTCAGAATGAAAGTCCAAACAGCTGATAAAAACATCACAATAATCCACAAGTAATCCACACCACTCCATCAATTAAC